CCGGGCACGTGACCGGGCATGCAGCACGTGGCACAGCACGTGAGGGGGCGGGGCACGCAGTGGGGTCACGTGGCCGGAGCACGCTGGTGAGCACAAGGCCCCAGAATTTCCACCTTCCTTCTTTCTCGTTTGTTTTTCCGAGAAATTCAGGCCGGGACAGGGCTTTAGAGTCAAACTGCCCAGTTCCTGAGAAGACAAGCGGATGCTCCCCACTTTTCCATCAGCAAATCTACAAAATCCGTGCTGCACTTGGTGCAAAGGGAGAACAGTCCTGGGTCCCAGCTGGGCCCTCCCGCTCGTGTCTCCTCATGCACTTCAGTTACCCGCTCCCTCCTGCATCGGTCCTGCCTCGAATACGGGATCATTTCCTTCTTACGTGCAGGAAAATCTCCTACCACAAAAGGAACAAGCCTCCTTTTGTCCCACATCGGCCTCCGGCTGCTCTTCCCAGAAAAACTTCTCAAAAGAGTGGCTGCAAAGGCCTTTTTAACTTCTCCGTCTCTACCTCCTCACCCCCCATTTTCTGTTCAACCTACCTTTCCCTGCTCCGTTACAGAAGACTGAAATCCATCAGGCGCCTCTTGACTGCATTTGATGAAGTTGACCTCTCTGACCTTTAAACACTTTTCTTTTGGCATCAATGTTTCTCTGTCTCTCCCTCTCCCTTCTACTCTCTCTTTAAAAAAAAACAACAATGGAAAAAATATCAAGTGAGGATTAATAATAAATAAATCTATAATAATAAAAGCATAATATGTAAATCGACCGAATGGCTGAACAGCAGGACGACCATCCAGACGACCATCTAGATGACCTTCCAGAGGAAGCCGGGGTTGTGAGGGCCAAGGCGGCCGGGGCAGCGAGGGCCTACTCTTGCATGAATTTCGTGCATCAGGCCTCTAGTCTATATATATAAAAGCCTAAGCGACCCTTATGACTGGTAAATCGACCAGTCGGCCAGTTGCTATGACGCACACTGACCACCAGGGGGCAGACGCTCAATGTAGGAGCTGCCCCCTGGTGGTCAGTGTGCTCCCACAGCCAACCTCCCGTGGTTTCTCATCCCCCCACCCCATCCCCTTCCCCCAGGTGGCTGGCCCCAATCCCTGGCCAGGCCTAGGAACCCCACCTGTGCATGAATTCGTGAACTGGGCCTCTAGTAAACAGATAATTAACTTTTTACTGAAATGCATACACACACATAGGTAAGTACAAAAATAAGTACAGCTCATGAATTTTCACAATCTGAACACACCTATGTAGTCAGCATTTAGTAGCAGACACAGAACACCAGGCTTCCCCCAAATACCTTGTCCCCTTTCCCAGCTATCTAGTATGAGAAGGTTAATGAGATTTACTGACATTTTTCTTAAAGAGACAACATCTATGTCTTTTAAACAAGAAAAATTTCAGGATCTAAACACACTTCTTAAGCATTCTTACCCGTTTATATCTCACTTTGGCATCATAGAAACGATTTTGGCGGAAAAGGTAGTTGCCAAACTCCCGTTCAGTAGCTGCCACTTTTAGGACTTTCTGAAGTGGAAATTGATCTTGTTGCTCCTGAGGACCAAAGATAAGGACACCCAACAAGAAAACTGAAAGCTACGATGCCACAATGTCAGTATAATTACACCTGTTCCATTTTTCTTCTTCAGATTATGGACTTTTGTTTATTGCCGTATGTGTGCCAAGCATTGGGCTAGGTGCCTCTGCCCAGGTCATCTGTGTGAATTCCAATAGAAGCCACAGCAGTTCGGTGTTATCACCGCCCCCACTTCACAGCTAGAGCCAAAAGGAGACCTTCTATAGTCCTCCCAGAGATATTCCATAAAGCAGCAGTTTTCATGGAATTAGAAACTGATGGAACTTGTCAAGCACAGAAATCAGAACTATTTATCAACCAAAATTTAACAGGTCTTGGTCTGCCCATGGCCGTACTGGTCTCTATAGCCACAATGCACTACCTTGGGTACGTATCAAAATCATCCATAGTGCCTCTTTTTAAAGGCAGATGTCTTGTCCCCGCCTCCCCCACCCAAGAGATTCTAAATCAGTATACTAGAAGTGGGACCCAGGCATCTGTAAGGACCTGTTATGTGTAAAGATGAAAAAAGGTAAGATTCCTCACTTGGGGTGCTGACAGTTTAGCTGGGGAGACATCAGATACAGATGTAAATCTAGGGTGGACATCTAAGATCACATATACAGTCAGAGTGAGATAGAATGACAAAGTGTGCCTCTAACTACTAACGAGATTTGAAGCCCTACCTTTATAGGAAGGGTTAAGGCAACAAAGAAATGGCAACACTTAAATTATGAGAACAGAGTCCATATGTCCCACGTTTCCCGGGATTATCCCATTTACACCTGATGTCCTGGTATCCTATCCACTTAATAGCCCATTTCACTCTCAAGTGTCCTGGCTTGGACAACAAATTAGATGGTCACACTACTTATGAACTACCAAGGCTTCACTTGCTGGAAACCAACCTTAATGTTGAGAAGCAAATGCCCACTATCTTGCAGAGAGAAGTAGGCAAAGGTGACTGACTGAAAAATCAACTCACACTGCTGGTCCATAACAAACCCACAGCCTGGCCTTGACCTAGCACAGTGACCCACATCTAAGGGCCAACATTAAGGACAGAGGAGGAAGTGGGGGAACACCACCGCCACCGCCACCACCCAGGAGCCTCAGGGGTGGAACCTGGGCCAGAGGAGCATCAGCGTGGCATGATAATTACCAAAAACACAAACCCAACCCTCTCTCTATGAAGTGTGACATCTGTACTCCAGAACTTACGGCGGTCAGGGCACAAAACTTGTCTGATTCAGCAGAATCCAGGAAGTCAATTAGCTCAATCTCAAATAAGACAGTGGAGTTGGGGGGGATCAAGGGCGGGCAGCCCAGTGTTCCGTAGGCATAGGGCGGTTTGAATAGAAACCTGGCCAGCTCTCCCCTCCGCATGGTCAGAAGGCCCAGCTCCATGCCCCAAAGGGTAATATCTGGAAGAAGGGACAAAGAACTTGGTTGAAGTTCTCCCAGTACCCTGTTCCAGTGCTATCAATTTCTTTCCTCCTTACGTCCAAATCTCTTTCTGCACTGTGGCCCCAATTCACTTTTCAGCCTATTCCCCATTACCACCACCCTTTCAACTCTAACTTCTTTAGGCTCTGCAGCATTCTGGCCCCTACATCTTTGTTCACACAGTCCTTTCTTCTTGCAACATCTTCCTCCCCATGCCCAGCGTCTGGCCTGATTGAAATCTTATTCAAACTTCAGGGCTCATTTCCAATGCCGCCTCTTCCAGGACACCCTCCCTGATCTTCCCAGCTGGAACTAACGATGCCTTCATTAAGGGCTCCTGCAGCAGTGGGAATCCCTCCCAGGAACTTAAACGATTCTACCAGGTTAGTTGTCTGAACACGAGTCAATCTCCACCACCACACCAGCTCCCGTGTTCTAATCACCTGGGTACATCCTCTCTTTTCAGCGTGCATTGTGGGTAGTAAGCATTCAACAGATGTTTAAACAAACAAGAACACAATGCCCAATGGTTAGGTCAGGATGCAAAGATAACCTTGCCAGGTAGGACATTTCCCTAATACCTAGGTCTCAAGGGGAAACGTAGGCGAGAGCTGGCTGGTTTAGCAAAAACCCAGCCTCCACAAACCGACCCAAAGAACCTGTGCCCGGGACAGTTTCCCAGGCCTAGCGCGCTGTCCCTCATCAATGCCCCCGAAACACTCCTCCTTTTCCAGCTCCTACTGTGAACTTACCCACTCCCAGCTTCATGAGTCGGGGCGTTTTCCTAAAGCAATTCGAATCAAAAGGCTTGTCCATGTGCTCCAGGTACCCAGAGTATTTCACTAGGACAGAGGGCACAGACACAGAAAAATGGACCAATACCCTCACCTCCGTAACATCACGTCTCTTTAATTATCACACAAAAACAACAGAATTAGGCCCTGACTGGTTTGGCTCAGTGGATAGAGCGTTGGCCTGCGGACTCAAGGGTCCCGGGTTCGATTCCGGTCAAGGGCATGTACCTTGGTTGCGGGCACAACCCCGGTGGGGAGTGTGCAGGAGGCAGCTGACCGATGTTTCTCTCTCATCGATGTTTCTAACTCTCTATCCCTCTCCTTTCCTCTCTGTAAAAAATCAATAAAGTATATTTTTAAAAAATCTAATTCTAACAAAGCATGTTCTACCCAAGCCAGGTGCCTCCCCTCCCCCCAAGGTAA